TTTTTTTTTTTTTTTTTTTTTTTTTTGTAATCTTTAATCACTATCACTTGATGTAGTATGGTGGTTGTGGTTTGAATAAACTCATACTTGGAATAGGATGCATCTTGAAAATTTTTTATCTTGTTATTTTTTGCATGTTGTTCTTGTGATTGTGAAACTTCTTTATGTGCAGCGTGTTTTATATGTTGACATTGATATCCACCATGGAGATGGTGTTGAAGAGGCTTTTTATACAACCGACAGAGTCATGACTGTATCGTTCCACAAATTTGGAGATTATTTTCCCGGTACAGGAGATATAAGAGACATTGGTTATGGGAAAGGAAAGTACTACTCACTTAATGTTCCTTTGGATGATGGAATTGATGATGAGAGCTATCATTACTTGTTCAAACCTATAATGGGAAAAGTTATGGAAGTTTTTAGACCTGGTGCTGTTGTTCTCCAATGTGGTGCTGACTCTCTTTCTGGCGATAGGCTAGGATGCTTTAACCTGTCAATAAAAGGTCATGGAGAGTGTGTTAGATATATGAGATCATTCAATGTGCCTCTATTACTGCTTGGTGGGGGTGGCTACACCATCCGTAACGTTGCTCGCTGCTGGTGCTACGAGGTACACATTTTGCTTTCAAAGAATGATTTTTGTATGATCAAGTGTTGGTTCCTTCTTGTATCTTTTGCTACAAAGTTTTGGAAAGTGCACCCCTTGATCTTATTATCTCATAATGAGTGAGGCAAATGATATAATTTAAGATTGTGCTTTAGGAAGGGCAATGGAATAGAAGCATCGTACTTGTTCATGACAACTCAATTACTGACTAATATGTCTCAATTCTATATAATTTGAAGGTTTGCTTTGGTTTGTATGATATGAGTCAGCTCAAACTAAACAAATTTATAATCCACAAAGATTGTGATTGACTTCTTTCGGGAACATATGTGTTGAAGTTTCTGACCAATGGAGACATCAGAAATTCCTTATCCCATTTCTTTTATGTTACAATATGCCTCTGTTTTCCAAATTAGAAAAATAAATAAATAAACAAATCATGTGGAGGGAGCTGATGAACTCTGTGGCTTCATAATAGTAGTATGTTTTACTATTTTCATGGTGGGGTGTTAAGAATTTCTATTTTCTATAAAGTCTCATTGTCCTTGATGCTAGATTGTTATTCTAAAGTTCTTTCTTGTCTCTATATCATTTTTCTGACCTGCTGTTTTACATCGAACTGTCATGTGGAGTGCAGACAGGAGTTGCTCTTGGGATGGAGGTTGATGACAAAATGCCACAGCATGAATATTATGAGTATTTTGGTCCTGATTACACTCTGCATGTTGCTCCCAGTAATATGGAGAACAAAAATACACACCTTATGCTGGAAGAAATACAGGGAAAGCTACTTGAATACCTTGCACGACTTCAGCATGCGCCCAGTGTTCCATTTCAAGAAAGGCCTCCTGATACTGAACTCCCTGAGGTAGGTTAACATAATATAATTTGTTTCATTAGTTTCTCCTCTCTTAAATTTAACATTTTTTTTTATGTTGTCATGCACACAGAAGTAATGAGAAGAGTTCTTATTGATTGCACTGTAGATATGATTTTGGATTAACTTCTTATAACACGAAAATATTCATTGACCTCATATTTCGCAAGATTCACCAACTTTGAAAACAATTCTAAGATGCAGCTTATAATTATCACATTACCTTTTACTAATTATTAAGTAATTACTGATTAATAATCCAAGGGTTAGTAATATTTCTTAAAATACCTTCGGATTTAACCTAGAGGTGATGGTTGCTAGTCACCTGGGCAACTTGAGATATTCTACACATGATTGATTTTGTTAGTAGTCTCCAATTCCATATCTGGCAAAGGTTAAACAGTTGGAGTATTCATGAGTTACGAGTTGATATGCTTATTGAACTGCATTTGATGTGACTCCTGTCTGTCAAATGAGCCACGTGTTGATTTTTTGTATCGCTTTTCCTCATGTTTCTCTGCCAACCTGTATGCACTTCACGCCTATGGTTTTTTCTTTTTTGCTCCATATGAAAATAAATCCAATGTGTTTGTGTGGTGTTGCTAGTCTTCTAGGCATGGTGACAATAATTTGTTGAAAAATGTAAAATGGTAATGCAGGTTCAGTATGAGAAAACTTTATACTTGAGACGCAAAATCTGTGCCTTTTTCCCCTTCTATTTGTTGTTTATTAGGAAATAGGAAACAAATTTAAATTGGTAATGTGTTTGATCAATTATGTCATTGGTAATTGTCTCTTGATTGCAAAGTGTTAAATATGATCTTCAGGCGGATGAAGACCAGGAGGATAAGGATGAGAGATGGGATCCAGACTCAGATATGGAAGTTGACGAAGAGAGGTATTTCGTTTTGTACTTGATTTCTTTTCAATTTTATCTTTACAATCCTTATTATCTTAACTTCTGCATTTTACTTGCTGTTTGGACAGAAAACCCATCCCAAGCAGAGTTAAAAGAGAAACGGTTGAGACTGAAATCAAAGAGCCGGTATGCTCTAATTGAATATAGGATGTCCTATTTTTGTTCATGCCCATGCCGTGTTACATTTCCTGATTCAAGCTACCATTCTTGCTATATATATTTCCAACTTGCTTGTTGATTCTTTATGGCTTTAATTTTTTTTAGGAAGTTAATCCCGAGAGTACTAGAGGTTTAGAAAAAGCAGCTGCGGAGGCTACAAGTGCAAAGGTGAAAAATCTCCAGAAAATGGAAGCCATGAAATATTCTCTTTACAAGTTTGAAATAGGAAACCATCACTTTTAATTGAAATGATTTGTCTTAGAAGGTTCCCCCGGAGTTATTCTTCTTCTCTTGTACCTTACATAATCTTTTATGAAAAATTTTCTTTTTCCAAAAATAAAATAAAATGAAATAATGACATTTCATCTTTAGTACTCATTTGTTTATATGCTATTATTTTGCACTTGCAGGCTTTAGATATAGGTTCTCTCAAACTTGAAGAGTCGGGCGTAAAACTCGAAGAGCCCAGCAAGCAGAATGACCAAATGTTCCCCTAGTCTTTGAAAGGGTGAAGAGGGCAGGGGATCAAACACAGGAACAACTGACTCCAAGTAAATAGAGGTGACTTTTGACATTCTTTGTTGCACAGATTTTTTAGACTTGGTAGTTTTTGTGCAAGAATGAGCTGAGTCGTGGAAATCTCGTTGTGCCTCAAGTATTTGTGTATAGAAGTCTGGAGTTGATATGGATAATCTTATTATTTAGACCAGTTATGGATGATTTGCGCAATGTTGCGAAATGTAAATCACCATGGAGAATAGAGTTTTCTGAGATCTGTAGGTCATGTCACTGGAGCTACTTAGTTCTTTGCCTCCCTATGTGTCTTAATTTAGCCCAATACGTTTCTTTGATCAAGATGTTAGAGGTTAGAATTCTCATTTCCGAGAATTGCCATTTGAAACTTTGCAGGAGGGATGGAGAATTCTTATTTTGGGATGGGGACACAATTTTCATTCCATCTAAAAGTTACATAAATCCTTTGTTCTATAGTTTTCCAATCTTTTCTTCCCTTCTTTGAGTCGAAGCATGCTTCATCTTCATCACTTCTTACATTGTATGAAATTGGTTATAAATTAATTATTGACTGTATAGAAATATCATCAATAATAACATCTAATATGTTATTATTTTAATTATTTAATTAGATTTCAGCTTTGAACTATAATTTTCGCACTTCAAAAGACTTCACTTATGTTATGTAAATAGGAATTCTAAAATCAAGAAGAACAAAAAGGGTTGTTCCTGAGTCGGTAATTAGTAAAAAACCAGAGAAGGATTCATCTCATCCGTTCCGGTGATATTCAAAACTAAATCTTTGAACTTTACCATTGTTCATTTGTCTATTAAAAAATAACTAGTAGTGTAAGGCGGTGGTTAGATAATTTGTTGGGTGCAACAAGTTGTGAGAGCCCAAGTCTAGCATTAGTAGATATCTGATTAGTAGATATCTGTTTTGGCCTGTTAGTATTGCTGAGGTTTCTGCCTCCTTGTAAAGAATGTTTTGTTCCTCTCTCCGACCAATGTAGGATCTCACACAAATAGTTGAAAGTGGACGTATAATTGTAACTCCATTTTGAGGGGAGGTGTCGTAGTACTTTGTCCTCTTTGTTGAGAGTTGCAATCAAGGATCAATCACAATTGGTACGATGTCTTTTGAGCGAAACTAAAAGTAATCATCATACCCCTAAATACCCTGAATTTGCCATGCATCTAAAATGTATGGATAATATCCTATTATATTACATTTGCACAACAATTTCAAATACTTTTATTCAAATACAAATTTCACAATCGAGAATAACCATTTAGGGGACTTAAAATCCACATTGGTGGGTAACGAATGGCAGAGCAAAAAGGAAAAAAAAAAAGTACAGAGAAAAGAGAAACTGATTCATATCATTTTGGGAGCTGACCAATCTCTTCATCTCTCAAACTACTGTCATCCATCCCCTCCTTCAACAGCATCAACTCCTCATCTGAAAGTTGGCTCTTTGGCTGAGGGATGGCCATTGCATTGGCTTGCTTCTCAATCTCAACGGCCCAGCTATACACCACCATCCCAACAATGGCAAGAACCATCCCTGATATGTTTTTCATTGTCATCTCTGAATCGAACAGCAGCCACCCCAACATCAGGACGCATACCGTCTTCATATGGCCTAAAACCTGGAACGATACAGCCGAGAAGCGCCCGATGCACAAATATTGACTGATGTTGCAGAACACAGCTAGGGAGCATGACAGTAATATGAAGCACTGCAACATTCGTTAAGGATAGATATTGGTTGGAGCCCTTTTGGTCCTTGGTTCAATTACGAAAGCAAAAGCAAAACGAATACGAGATTCGAATAACGACTTACAAATGCACTAAAAGCGTAGTTGTATTTCAGTAGAGATTTACTAGTAAGGCAGTAGTCAATGAATGGGCCAACTGTTAGAAGGGAAAGTGCTTGAATGGGAGCTGTCTTGCTTAGTAATTCAAAGGATCCTATTGAGTACTTCTTCTGTAATGAACCTATAGACTGTTTAATCAATGTAAAAGTGACGAGCTTGATGTCTCAGAATTAGGTGTAACGCTGAATCTGAAGTGATTTTAAAGGGAGAAAAGATAATGCTTACAATTTGTTGCAGTGATGTGCATAAGATTGCTACTAAGGCACAAAGAAAGCCTTTGGCATTAACTTTCACATCAGTCACTGTACAGACACCGACACCGACAACGACCACGACAACGGCCATCTTCACTTCCCTAGAGTATTGTTTTCCATGAAGAATCCACTCCATGACACACACCACAGGTATCATACTTAGCTTTGATATCTACAAGCACATGAAGCAGCAACAAAGTTTCGTTATCGTCGATGGCGATGAGTGACAACAAAGGTAAGGGGGACAAGGATTGAACCTGATAAAATCCAACAGAGTTTAACATGAGGCTGAAGTTCATGGCTGTTATCGACGTGTTGGCGATAATTGAGAACCAAAGAAGCTCCCAGAAGGGAACAGATTTGGATTCAGAATAGCCAGAGGCATTTGAAATCCAACCCACCAACGCAGTCACAGAAAAGTGAAATCCAGTTAACGTTGTAGCTGAAACAAAAGAAGAAAGCCTTGGATCAAAGCAACTAACTGATGTAATAAAAGAGGTGCATTATGGAAATGAAACTTGAAACTGAAAGAGAAGAAGAGATACAAACCAAAGGAAAAGGCGAAGCCAGTTTGGGACATGAGCTGCTTGTTGACCATGATAATGCCCACTGAGCTGATTATGTTCATACCCCAAGCTCCAACATCTGATACAGAGGAGGACTTTCTCTCCTCCATGACCCTTTTCTTCTTCTTCTTCAAATCCAGACCAAAAAACTTGCTCCTTTTGGGCGATTTGTCTTTGTTCGAAGATATTGCTCCCAAATTCATAAGAAAGGCTGCTAGTAAAGGCTAAACTTAGATGAAATCAGAGTTGAAAGCCAGAAGAAAGAAAATTAAGTTTCATTAATTACTCGTGGGTCAGCTTACCATGTTTTTAAATGCTCGTCGTTTGAATCTTTTTCCCACTAACTTGTTGCTGCAAAAATCAAAAGTCCACTCTCAATGCCTCCCGGCTTCAGCTTCTTCAATTCAAATGGATTTTGCTGCTTTTTGGGGCAACCTGCACGTTAACAACTTAACAAAACCACAAATCCCCATGGAAGTTTTCGAACTTCAAGGCATAATAAGGCTTTCTTTTTAAGGTGGAGTGAAGAAGGAGACAAGTTTTTTTTTTTTTGCTTTTTGACCTTTACACTTCTATGGCTCTCACCTTTAACAAAATTTTGGGTTTCTTCCCAAATCCTAAGTAGCTTGCTAGCTCCTATGGCCACTCATAAATACATTATGGTTGCTGCATGCATTAATAAAGCAGACTTTGATAAAGAGCCTAAGTACATCATTTAAAACTTGTCTAAAACTGAAGTAAGTCTATAAAACTTATATGGTTTCTACTTTATGACTTGAGACTTGGCTTTCTAGTTCCTACTTCGCCTCTAGGCATGTGATAAGCTTCAATGTTATGGATACAATTGACTAGGCGCCCACCCTAAGGCCCAGACGACTTCATTAACAAAGAAAGTACTGACTGGGAGCTTTTTCCCTGGCTTCCTACACCTGATTTCAGATCTGAGCTGCATAATGGAAAATTTTACAGCACCTGTTTGAAGCGGTAGCACGCTGGCATTTGCATTCCTTTCACCAAGCAAGTTAAATCTCTACGACCTTTTGCAAATTTGACTTTGGATATTATTAAAACAAGAGAAAGAATTGAGCATAGGATACTCTTTGTCAAGTAGCAAGACAGTACATGATCCCAGGCACAATGCGAATAACAGAAGGCTCACACTACACACCTCATAATAGAACGAATTTTGTCTCACTGACTGTAGCATTCTAATAAAAATCACATTATTTAAAGTGGTAACTGTTTCGAAGGTAGAAAATCTAGCAACACTCGAAAGCCTGTGGCGTGCTTGAACTGTGGCAGGAAATATTTCCGGTGGCTTCAAAGTTTACAGGAAAACATCCTTCTCGAGCAATTTTAGCACCTCGTGTTGGTTGTTTAGCTTGGCTACGTCTATGGGAGTCTTTCCATCCAGGTTTTGGAGAGTGCTGCACGCAGAGAGAGAGAATAGTGAAATTGTGAAGGAAAAGAGTATTAAATGGAGTAATGTCTTTCTAAGGCTGTTTGTTTACACTGCAGCGCCATTCTCAAGTAATAGTGCAACACACTCCTTCCTGCCATAACCAGCTGCATAATGAAGTGCAGTGTTCTTATTCTTATCCAGTGCATCCACCTTCACTCCAGCTTCAAGAAGGATCTGAGCGCATTTCACCTGTTTTGTTTTTGTTTTTTTTTTTTTTTTTTTTTTTTG